GGGCTGGCCCGTGGGCAGAGCCCTCTGGCTGGGAGGGCAGTCACGGAGGAGGAGAAGGCAGCAGAGTGCCTTTTTATCTCCCACCCTGTTATTTTTGTCGAGCAGTAATTTAATGGTTGAACAATCAAGGTCTGGAGCCCTCAGTGGAGAATTTATCACAAAATGTGTGGAGAGAATTAGCCAAAAGTGAGTAACTCTCCTCAAACTGTCCATAGGACGAGTTTAGACTGTTTGCTGTTATTTCCCCTCCTGCCTGCTCGATGTGCTACCTATATAATTTATCCTAAAAGATCATTTTCAGGGTTGCTTACTTAACGTCATGTATGATATTAAATTGCAGGCTAATACTTGGCTATATAACACTATGGAGCTTTATGAAGACAGCTGCCAGCACTCATCTGATTCATTTCACCTCAAATTGCCGGCAACAAGTTGAGGGTGTCCCTTCTCCAAAAGGCACACTTGCTATTTTCCCTAATAGTGGGCAAGGAATGTGTGACTAGGAAAGCTATTTATTTTTTCCTCTATACTCGAACTACAAAATTAAAGATGAGCTTGTTTTTAGTATATATATTATTCATTAAGTGATTTATTAAGACCTCAAAGGTCTATGTGAAACAGGAGGAGCACATGAAAGAGATTCAAGAAGTAGGAGGGGGCAAGACAAAAATCCTCAATCTTTAAAAATTATATGAATACTAGAAGGTGACCCTGAGTGTAGCCTGTTTACTTGCATCACAGGCCAGTTTCAGATCGTCTTACAGCATCTATCCTTTGGCAAGATTGCCTGATCTGGCTGTTTCTAAAGTATCTGACAGCTTCCTCAACTGAGATTTGAATAGATTTTGCATTTCTATGGGCTATTAGCCTGTGATCTGCATCTTCATGAGACAGTCACTACCATTAAGCCTTTTCAGAAAAGGACTAGTATGAAGGACTGGGCTATAATGGCAGCTTGTACTCATTCAGACTAGACCACTGTTGCTTTTTTTTTTTCTTTGAAAGGTGGAGTTCAAGAATAAGGTCAAGAAAGACTTAAATGGACTTCTGAAGGTGAGTTAAAAATGTTACTCTATTTTAGTAAGCTAGGAGTAACCAAATTCTGTATTGCTTCTATACAGTTGTTTCATCATGAAATAAAGCTGTTATTAAAATTGTGTTTATGGGGTGAATAAGAATTCATCCCTTTTACTAATTAAATGTGTACCAGAAGTGCCTGTGTTTGTATTGTTACATCTTACTGTTAAACATTTCATTGCTACATTGTACACAGTGCGTGTCCTTGCACTAGTAATATGTTATTGATTCTTACATGTGTCAAATTCCTGTCTTCCACTGGCTTATTTTTAGCTTAAGTGTGCAAAACTAGTATTTCAAACCCATTACAATGGTTAGATCTGAAAAACTGAATTTGCACAGCCTGGCTGGATAGCCTCTTTGTATGTGTTAAACTTGAGTAACAACAAGCAATGGAAAGCGTGAAAAAAAAATTTTGATAATTTGTCTTTCTGAAAGGAGTTAGCACAGTTTTGGCATTGATGTACTTTTGCGTGTTAAAATTAGTATTTTTTTCAGAAACTCTTGTAACTCTACTAGGAGTTATCCATGTTAAATACAAATTAGCAAAAAAACCCCAGAAAGTGAAGCCTGCACATGACAGTAATTACTCTTAAAAATAATCTCTGTAGTACTGAGCTGTGAAACTTGCTCTTGATTAACACCAGCATCTTGCTAAAATTCATAAAAATAATGTATGTGCCAGTAAGAAATGGCAACGTTTTTTATGTAAAAAGAAAAAGCGCAGTATAAGAACTTCAATGAATAATTACTTTAATCTTGAAATCATAAAAATTACAAGCCCTAGCTTTGAGACATCAACTACAAATTTTTTTTTTATATAATTTGGACACTGTTATTACTGCATGCTTTCTCTGAGAACTCTTGGCTTATGTTCAGAAGCCTGAGTTACTTAGCATTTTCTGCCTCAATAGGATCTCTTTTTAGTGTGCTGATTTAGTAAATTTGGGAGCACGCAGTCCTACAAGCTTATGGTGTTAATTTGACTTTTGTTTTTTGAAATACTTTTTTTTGGTTTTGTTTTGACTAACTCGTAGCAAAATTCAACTTTATGTCTTTTGTTATGATACAAAGAAATGGATCAATTTTCTGAAACATGTGACCAAGAGATGGTTGTTAACATATAGATTATCAGCAACAATGTAAGTTTAAAGTGGAAAACATGAAAGACATAAATAGACAAACAGCTGTGTTCAAATTCCATATATTTTGACAGAGGTTTTGGTTCTGGACTCTCTCAAATACTTTTTTCTATTTCTCTATTCCACATATCAGTATGAGGAGTAAGATATCCTGCTAATGCAGCTGCCCTTGTGAATCCTGAGTGTTGTGTTCGCACAAAATAGTGAGTCTTTATTTATAATACCACAGAAAATATTATCAACCAGATGCACAAAGTGTTTTTACAAGGTTATTTGCCAGCCTTCTCTTGTGACTGGCAAGATAGCTCTACACCAGATTAACTCTGTGCTAGGGAACCAGGCAGGCTGCACAGGAGTTTTGCTGTGTGCTGTTGGTTAAGATGCAGTCTGGAACGAGAGGTTAACCAAATTTATGGAGCAATAGCTATTTTCCTGTACACGTGACTGTTCCTTTATGAGCTATCTTTTTTGTAGGTTTTGTATTAATAATATCCTTGTATCCAAATTAAGAAAGGAAATCCAATAACTTCTTTCAGATTAACTACTGTTACTTATTGCAATGTATTTTTAAATGATTTTTGTGTTTGCAATGCTGCAATTACAAAAGGAAGAAAAATGGAGACAGAGACCATTTTAAGTCTTAAACAGCAACTCAAGGAAGCAGAGAATGAGCGGAGGAAGGCGGCGCAATATGGCTTGCACTTACTGGAGTCCCAAAGTGAAGTTCAAAATCAGTTGGATCAAACACGCCGTGAATTGACTGAGAAAACTGAGGTGATGTTTTAAACTTTGAGTAAGAAAACGGTCAAAAACTTTTTTTTAATGACTTCTTGAATATCACAGGTCTTCTAAATGCCTTTTAGAGTCTAAATTAATTTTAATAAACCTTTTAAGTATTTGCAGAGAGGGTGCTTTATCTCTGCACTAGGATATTGAGCAGAATTTCATCTAACTGGGACAGGGTTTCCCAGCTAGTTATGCATCAACTGTTCAGTATCATGTAGGATTAATTGACTTCAATGTAAAATGAATGCTAAGTGCTAAAGTAAATTTGTTTTATAACACGTACTTTGGGTGTGTTTAGCAATTAAGTTGTGTTGTGCTCTGCCTGCAAGCTTTGTTTCACTTTAGAGCTGTAAAAAGAATGCTAGCAGCAAGACTGTAGAACTGATTTCTTCTCTAGTGGATTTTTCAAATATTTTAAATACCAAGGGTTTCTGAGTTTATCAGTGCCTTTTTTATACTGCTCAGATAAGAGAGTAGTGTAGTGTTAAAAGGCAGAGGTATTTACTTGACCAGTTTTTATTCAAGAAAATTCCAGTCAGGAAAGTATCTTCCACTTTTCATAAACACGTTAAGTTATGTTTGTTTTCAGTAAGCCCACGCTTCAGATGTGCCATTGCTGTTCACTTGTCTGTTCCTGGCTGTGCATATATCCCTTCTCTTGTGATAGAGCTACAACGTTTGTGGCTTTGTTGGAATTTTTGTTTGGGTTTGGGTTTTTGGGGTTTTTTTTTTAGCATCTGGGAAGTTGCAGCACCCTGCTATTCTGAATGACCACCAAGAACTTATTTTGATCAGTTTGCAGCTAGCAAGCTTAGTGCACAAGAGGCAGCTGGAAAAACCACAAGCGATAAGGCACGGCAGGATCCTCCTTTTCTACTGACAGCCTCACAAGCTGCTACTGGGTGAATCTGCACCCACAGGTTGTGATCCTGTGGTACAGGCTGGAGCAAAGTTAGAGTTAAGCATGTGCGAACCACATCACAGAATGGTTTGGGTTGGAAGGGACCTTTAAAGCTCCTCTGTTTCCAACCCTTCCACCATGTGCGGGGACATCTTGAACCAGTTCAGGTTGCTCAGTTAGTAACTTAGAGTCCAAGGGTGGCGGGAAGGAATTACGTGCTTTCGTACCCCAGCAGAACACCTTGTGTGGGAATGGTGGTCACCCAACAGATTCTTACGAGCTTCAGAATCTGTGGTTCTCCTCTTTGGAATCTGAGAGCCAAAGCAATTGCCATGAACACAAGCGTAGATTTTAACAGTAGGCACAAAAATCTTTCAGAAAAATCAGTGTACACTTCCCTAGCAGTTTGTGTAGACATACCATGCTACTATTTTTTTTTGTCTTTTTTTGGGTCTGGCCAGCAGTTCACTCCCAAAACTTTTCTGTGTGGTGTCTTTATCTTTAAAACTCATCCTGTATATTTGAGAGCTAAGCCTGTCTCTGCTAAGCTGGTGTCTAGGCCACAGAGGTCAGTTTCATACCTGGCAGCTTTTACTTTTATTATGTTCCTTTTCTAATTCTGATTTGTGTCTTAAGAGGTATTCTATTTTGAAAAAAAATCCTGCATCTTTAGACTGATTTGGTTTTGTTTTTTACCTTTTCTGCTTTCAAGACTTTTTTCTTCTTCTTAATTGCTGGCTGAATGGAAGAGTAAAATGAGGCTGCCCTTTATAATTAGCAAATGTTAATCAGCTTCCCGCTCTGCCTGATTGTATAAGTCATTGTTCAGTCTGGAGGGGTTGAGGGGATTTATTACGAAACAGTAGACAATTCAGCTGTCTTTACCAAACATTGAGCCCAACTGTTCTGCAGTATGGGAACACTTGATGGACTCTAACAATTTTTAACATAATTTGGTTCTGTGGCGGTAGAAAGGACATGTAAGCTCTCACTAAATTTGTTAGATTTGTGGAAAAGGTGCCCGTGCCCTTCATGCTAGGTGCAAAGGAATACAGTTTCTAGGAGGAAGAGAGTATTACTCATTTAAGTCATAAAATTTCAGAGCAGTTTTTCTATATTTAAAATATTGATATGACAATTCTCTAACTGGGACTTGAATAAAAGATAGAAAGAGACACAAGTTTCAGGCATTCTGTGTATTGGTTCTGAGCTTGTATTTAGTATGTTGTTCCCCAAGCACTTTGAATATCGCATCTAGATCTATTAATATGTTACTTCTTTCAGAAATTTGAACAAGAGAAATACTCTCTTCAGAGAGAAATTGAACTCAAGAATCGAATGTTGGAAAGCTTGAGTTTTGAATGTGATTCCCTTAAGCAACAGCAAAGCATGCAGCTGGATAAACAGAAAGAACAGCTTGCCAGAGTCTATGGACAAGAAATTGGTGACCTTAAAAACAAGGTTTGTCAACTAATATACAGCTAAAAAGTTGTTAACAGCATTATGTGTTTAACTCATAATTGGACACTTACTACCAAAACAAATCTAATGCTCACCCGCAGGAGCTTGTTTAGTTGATTTGTAACAAACAACTGCATAGTTATGTTCTAAATTACATTAAATTTCAAAGCTTATTTTTAAATGTCTACTCTTAAGTTGTATTTCTAAGACATTTTCTGTAGTTAGAACAGAGTGAAAAGCTTTTGTGCTTTTCTAGAATTTGTTGTATAATGATACTACTTGGTTGTCAACTGTCTTTAAGTTGGAGAACCTGAAAGCAGAACTAGATGAAACCCGACTATCGGAGAAACAGCTGAGGCAGAAAGTGGATCATCAGAAGGAAATAATTGCTGCCAAGTCAGAAGAACTGCATCTGATGTCTGAACGTGTGCATGAGACCATGTCTTCAGAAATGCTCAATCTTCAGCTGGAACTCACTGAACTAGAAAGTGTGAAGGTGTGTGACTAGAACTTAATTATTATCAGTGTAGGCTAGTTGAACGTAAAATTCGATGCTTTTGCTCATTTAGTTTTTAAATGCTTTATGTGTATTTGTACCTTATGCTTGGCTGACTGTTAAGACAATTTGCACAGAAAAAAAAGAGTAGCATTGTTAACTATAATACAACCTATTCTTCAAGATAATATTTTGTATTAAGAGTAATTATTACTAACAAAACTGTCTATAACAAAACTGTCACTTTTTCAAGTTGTCTTAAACTTGATTTATTTTTTTTTTTGTTCAGGCCAATGTTGAAGAAAAGCTAAATGAACTGCAGTACAGCAAAGAACAACTAGAACTCGTAAACAGTAACTTACGTAACCAGCTGGAGCGTCTACAGGCAGAAAAAGAAGAGAGGGAAAAAGAAGTTGTTTCTTATTGTAATGCTTTAGAGGTAATTTTATTCAACAGCAGTAGATAATCCCTGAATCCTACAAATTGTGGTGTTAGCTTTTCAGTGAAATAGGAGGATTTTTGAGGAGGGAGGGAGACAGATGAGGCAAGGGCCGGGAGGAGAAAAGGCTATTGCCTGTTGCTAAATACTCTGTATTGAAATTCTTTTGTGAAAGGCTGTGTGGAGATGCTTTGTAACATGACCTCTTCTCAGGTCGCTGATGTAATTCTCATTTTTATTTCCTACTAAATGCCTGGGACAATTTTGTACTGGGGAGTAAAGGATTTGTGACTAAATAGCACAGCAAGGCTAATAGTCTCAATACCGTTAATCCAGTTGATAAACATCGAAGGTTTTCTTTAAAGGTTTTTATTTGTGCTCGTCCTGAAGAATAAGTGGAATATCAAGCCTTTCAGTGAAACAAAATTGTCTCTTACTGTGCTTAGTGTTCTAGTCAGTTAAGTTCTGCAGCGCAATGTAATCTGTGCTAACGGCATAGAAAATGCAGAGGTAAAATTAACTGAATTAATTTAATTAAAATTAAATGAATGTATTCCCTACATTAAATGCTTAAATGACTTGATACTCTTTGCTTTAATCTAGAAAGCTCGCGAAGCTAATCAGGACCTTCAGGTTCAGCTGGATCACGCAGTGCAGCAGTCTTTGGACCCTACAAGTAAAGGCAATTCTCTCTTTGCTGAGGTACAATTATGCCACCGATACTTGAGAATATACTGAGGAGAGAAGAATTAGTTCCCAAGTTTTATTTTTTGATACAACCTTGAAAATATTAGAGTATCTATACCTGACCTGGCTGGCATGAATCTCTATTCCTCAAATACTGTTTCAGTGTTGAACTGTTTAGGACCTGACCTAGGGTAAACAGGTCTTATGCATGCTCTGAAGTTGAGGAGTTAGTAATTTAATGGAATCAATTAAAATTACCTAGCTATCAAGATAGAAGATGGAACTGAGGGATCTTGGCAGTTCTGTCTGCAGCTCGTAGCTCAAAGTAGTTTTGTTCAGCTGTAAGCCTTCTTTAATGCAAAAGATGGTATGTGAAATAAGAAGCTGATAAAAGCTGAAAATGGCTGGATATTTGAGCATTTGGCGGAGGTTTTGAATTGGAGTTCACCTGGTATTAATTGCATGCAAAGTTATTTTGTTTTCGGACAATACTCAGGGAATGGGTTGAACTGGTGCAATGTTCATATTGGTTTTTTGAAAGCATTCTCATGCCAGTGGACTGAACTATTCTGCAGTAACATTGAAGCATATGAAATGTTACTTTATTAAGGTCAATTGCCAGGCAACATCTCCTTGTAAAACTTGTCATCCACGTGACAACAAGCGTTATCATTTTCACAGTAATAATTGTTAACAATGTTCTGTAGGTGGAGGACCGTAGGGCAGAAATGGAACGACAACTGATCAGTGTGAAAATAAAATATCAGTCCCTACAAAAACAGCATGCATTCACTAGAGAACAATTGCAGAGAATGAAGGTATGACCGTTACTGTAATACTCCAGGCTTTTCTTGGGGTTTTCTAAGACAACGCTTTAGCACACAGGCTAGGAGATTTGATTATCTTAAAAATATGATCTGGTAATCTGGGCATGGGAAATGGGAGAGAGAAGAAAAAAAAAGTGAAATGTCGTTGTGCTATTTGGCTTCTGTGATACATCACCATTTTTCTGTGGCTACTAGTGCTGTATTTAGTGTAGAACTCTAAGTTACGCTGAAGGCGTTGTGTTTGCTTATTTTGGCAGTACTTGTTAAATGGAGAAAAGTAGAACCAGCATTCAGTTTGTCTTGACAATTGCTTTTTCTTATCTAATTCTCATACACAAAGAAATGATTTATGTGGTATTAACTCTGGTTGTCAGGATCAAATGTGAAGAAAAGGACAGACTTGTACTCTGATCACACTGTCATTTTTTCCCCTCTGGGTTGCGTTCTTGTTTGCCCATATTTTTATTGCTTTTCACTATATTTAGTGCAAGAATAAGTCACAACTTTTGCCATAACTGTCTAATTTAGGCTAGACTTCTGTAGGATGGGAGCCTGTTGGTAAATAGTGTTGAGAACTAGTTAGCACAAGTTGAGTTACAAACTACCGACTGTTTTCATGTTGGTCTTCTGATTGTCTGACACAAAAGTTGTGGGTCCTTTCATTTTGATCAAATACTTCATTATGCAATTTAAGGAGAGTGCTTACATGTAGAGTGTGATGTGAGTGTGAGTCAGTCCTGATTGAATGGTTTAAGAAACATTCCTAATACTCAAGATTTTCACCAAGACATGAGGCAGATTAGTGTCCCTGTTCCTCTACTTAATGTTTGTGTTTGACTTTCAATTTGTACTCATTTGTCCCCGTGATGCTTCTCCAGTGTCAGTTTTGGAGATAGCTGTCCTAGCAAACTACGTGTTTTGCTTAAGTTGCTGTCTTGGATCCCTGTCAGGATCGACTCTGCTTTGTGTCTTGTTGCGCTGCTGTGTGTTAAAGCTCAGGCTGGAGTGAACTGATCCCTTCGCTCAGCAGCTGACTCCTGTGGTACAGTTAACCCTTGTTGCAGCTTTGGTTACAAGAATGTCTGAATGTGGTCTTGACAGCCCACAGTATGCCCACCAGTTTCTTAATGTTTCTGTTCTTCATTTTTATGTAGATCAGCTGCAATTTTCTGTTTTCACAGTGAGCCCCAAAGTGAAAGGGGAGAAGGTTAGATGTCTGCGTGCTTGGGAAATGTAAGGGGAGTTCTAGTCAGCTGGCAAGAGTCAAAATTTTGCCTCCCTTATGTCCTGTAGAAGCTACAAGGAGATGACTGAACCTTTCTTTGGCCCTAGTTTGTGTACAGAATTGTCAGTACCTCTTACTTGGCACAGGACATTCCATAGGGTAAATCCTTTTCTGTTGTCTTCTCTGTTAATCTGTAGTTTGTTTCACTTGATCATTTCCCTGTGATTTCTCCAAGTGTCCTACAGCGTTGCCTTATCCTTACTGGCCAGACTGGTAAAAACGCTGCAGTTACCACTAACACCTTGTTAAGTCTTTCCATTATTGCCGTTCATGTTGTTTCTCCAGTTACTTAAATGTCTGTTATATCACTTGTGACTGAATGTGTTAAGGCCTTCCTACTGTGATATTACAGTGTTAATAGTTAGAAAAATTGCTATAAATGCAAGACATTTCTCTGATAAACTTATCCTTCTGTAATAGCAAAGGATGTTCTTTGCTTGAAAGGATGCGTTTTACTGAAGGAGTAGAAGCTGAAATTCTTGGATTAATGTTGCAGAAGGCAACCCCAGTGTTATGAGAAGTTCTTGACAGATGCATTTTAGCTGTGATAAACAAGCCTGGGCTGTAGCTGGTTTCTAGCTGATTTGTTTACAATTTGTGTGTGAAATGTTGTGTGTGTCCTTGACAGTATTTTTAGAGGTTCCTTAATCAATATGGAGAAAGATATGACACGTCAAGATTACTCTGTTCAGTAAGTTTTAAGCTGTCCTAAAGACTTCTAGTGTCAACCTGTGGTGATAATTAAGAGTAATGACTTTAAGCATTCAGTGCTCTTCTGTATTCAGGATTAGAAGTACAAGGCTCGAGTAGCCTAACCAGTCTGGGAAGAGGTTGAGGTTTTCAATCAGTTAACTAAGTATTTGTTGTAACAGTTTCTGGTTTGTTTTTTTTTTTTTTTGCAGTTGCAGATGGCGACACTGCTACAGATGAAAGGCTCTCAGGCAGAGTTTGAGCAGCTGGAACGCTTACAGTCCATGGTAGAACAAAAGAATGGTGAGGTCGAAGATCTTCTTATGAAAGTGAGACAGCTAGAAAAATTTAAGGTATGTGGTCTGTAATTAAGTAGAGAAGTCGTAATAAAAAGCTAAAGACATGATAAGAAGAATTGAGAATTCTGTGAAGTTTGAAAAGGGATCCAAAGACTATTCATGTCGTTATTAACTCAAGTTCTGTTTTACAGCTGTAGAAAATATACTTTGGAAGTTCAGAGGCGCAGAAAATGCTACACCACCCCAGTCCCCTGTTGGGAAAGAATCTTTCCTGGGTTCCTTTGTGTAGCACCTTCGTGTTTTACGTAGTTACCTGCAGTGTTTAAATCCAATTACTTGGTCAAGCTTCACTGAGCTATGACATTTGATGAAACTTTTAAAATTATTTTTTTATTTTTCCTCTTGGAAGACAAAACCATTTCAAATTTTGATGATGTATACTTAGGCTTTTTTTGTATCAGCTGTATTGGATTTCTTGGCTATTTCCTTAGTATGTCCTAGCTGCAGTTGAAGCATTTTTTTTTCTAGAAAATAGAATTGTTTAATCATCCTTGTAAAGCAATTTTTCTCAGCTCTCTTATGCCGCTTAATAGCAGCTTGTAAGTGTTTCGAAAGGTGAGAAATACCTGTATGCACTGTTGTAGCGTTACTGATGTTTGTGTGTATACAGAGTGAAAACCTGCAGCTTTTCTTACTTTCTTACATACTTATAGACTCATTTGGCCCTTTCTTATCACAGCTTTGCAATGTTGACTTAAGTGTATTAGCTTATGCATTTGGATTATGCTTTCCAGGATAGCATCCTCTATTCTGCATTTAACCTAAGTGGTGGAAAGCTAAGCTTAACCCATTTTAGTAAGTAAAAGAGACAGCTTGATTGCTTCGCTAGTTTTGTCATGTATAAGCTTTGTGCTGTAGATAAGTAGAATCAGGAAATGAGATTGATTCCAGTAACTGTGAAAATTACCTGCAGTCAAGGGCTGACAGAAGGCTGTGAGGTCTGAGGGACAGCATTAAATCTAAGTACTGTTTGCTCAGAAAAAGGGCACAATTCCCTCCTGAGAATATCGCATATTATAGAAGTGTTTATTGTATTTATGGCATCTTTACTATAAACCAACTTTCTCATTTAAAAGATGTAACTGTTGCTGAGATTTTGGCTATTGATTAACATGACTTGCATTCCCTTGGGGTCCACCTGCTGAAGACTAGAAAGAAAGGCTGAAACAAATTCCCTGTGGCTTAACTGAATGTCCTGTATCTTCAAGTGAAAAGGAAGATAAACTATTATGCAGTGCTACTTGAAAACCTTCTGGAGCTGAGAACTTGCATTTAAATTTTTTCTTTCAGTGAGAGAGAGAACTGTCAGTTTCAATGCTAGTTGACACTTGTAACAGATGAGGAAGTACTCCACAACTGGCCTTTCTTGTATGTTTAAATGCCTTCTGTGATGGAAAATTCCACTTAAGGACTCAGCTTTGTGCTTTGGAAAGGTCCCTCTGTGACAACCTGACTGGTTTATTTTTTCCATCAGACTTTATATGAGAATATGGAAGAATCCAGAGCGAGTAGTAGCTCCAAGGGAGGAGAGTGTGAAGATGGCTACTATGCAGACTTACTGCAAATGAAACTTGACAACTCAAAGTACGTATTTAACAGTCTGACTCTTAGGAGTTGGCTGTAGTTTGGTTATTTCCTAGCTGCTAGTAGGTTTTATTCTCTCTCTTTTTGTTACTGTGTGTATGTAGTCCACCGACCTGTATGTTCAGATATGCCGCCTGTCTTGTTTTCCAGTGCAGTGGAACCATCCTGTCTTCATTATAGAACTGAGAGTTGTTTCATTGGTTATTTTAGTTATTGTTGCAAAAGATAGCAGCAGAACTATTTTATATTGGTTTTGCTTCCTTCTAGAAACCTTGTTCATATTTCTAGATAAAAGATAATTGAGACCTTTTTAAAAAAAAAAAAGGGGGGGAAAGAAAAAGCCATGTCTGAGTGACCGTATCATTCTGTTTCTTGCCTCAGCAAGGAAACCGAAACCTTGAAAAATGAACTATCCTTACAGAGGATGAAAGCTCTGTATGAGAGCCAAAGGGTTCTGGAAGTTGAAAGGAAACTCTTCACCAAAGAGAGGCATTTGCAGGCTTGTCAGAGTGAGAATATGAACTTGCAAGTTATGCTGGATGAGCTAAAAATGAAGTACGAACCTGAAGGTAAATATTACTTGTCTGTGTGGAAAAAACGTTTTGTCTTCTCATCCTTCACGAAGTTGAACAACGTTAAACAGGATGACGTTGGGTTAGCTTAGGTATAAACTAAGTTGTCTGTTAAGAGTTACATGTGACTAGGTAACTTGGAGTAATGTTCCTTATTACTTGCATTATGAATGTGTTGGTGGATAAGTTAACTCCAGCTTTGCTTATGTACAAACAAGTATATTTTTTGTTTGTTTTTTAGAACTATTTAAAGGCACTAAAATTAAAAAGAAGAGGGACAAGATTGAGGGTGCTATGTGTGAATACTTGGACAGCAAAAATGCTTCAGTAAAAGAAGCTGCTCTCCCTGAATTGCCAAGTAAGGAAGAATCAAAGATGACTTCCAAGAAATTGGAGCAGAGTGATGCTTCTCCAAAAAAATATGCTCTTGAAGCACCACCACTCAATATAGCTCTTCAAGCAATGCAAACAGTAGTTGAACCTGAAAGAGAAAGAAAGAGAGTTAAAACTAAGGATGAGAATCCCGATGCCTTTACTTCATACTTCAGCAGAAGTGGAATTAGTTCCTTGACTTCAGCTGCCCCCAGGTCAGTGTCAGCTTCTGTCTATGGTCAAGGCAATCAGCACAGACCTGCATCTCTTTTCTTTCGCTGCATGAACTGTGCTATCCACCTCCTTATCTATTTCCTCAGTATTGCATGCAGTGTAATTCCTCAGCTCCGGCTACCTGCGCTCAACCTCTCGATACCTTTTAGAAAGACTAAAATGATGACTAATGAAAAAGACTCTTGAAACTGTAACAAACTTTGAAATACCTTTTCAAGTACTTGAAAATGTTTCAGGTGTGCAAATAGCAGGAAAGCTCCCTCAGTTTGCTCTAACGACAGGAACAGGACTGTTCTCTCACTCCCTTCAAAGTTGCTGCATGCCTGTGTTACGTATCAAAGTAACAAAGGCCATAGGTATCATGCTTGGGTTTCTTAGCTTATTTCAGCCCTCACCAACTCCCAGATTTAGCTAAGAGCCTAACAATTATTTATACTTAATTCTTATCCTGAACTGAATTAACAGAACTTGCATTGTACAAGGTAATAGTCCTTTATGCTGTTTGTGTTGTCAAGGTAACTGACTTCCATAATCTGAATATATCACAACTAGTAACACAACTGCTAAATTAATATCAAGCTTTTCCCCTGAACTGAGATTTAAATTATTTTTTGATAGATGGCAAGTAACTGAGAACAGTAATTAGCTCCAACTGTTTATATCCTGGTTAAAAGAATGCTGATTTTCTTTTTCCAGCTGATGTTTTTGTATTCTCTTGCTGTTTGTAATCTTCATAAACACATCTGAGTGTTCTGGGCGAGAAAAAATATCTGAAATATTCCAGATAATTTATGATTTGAGGTTACAAGTTGCTAATGTCTGCTAGTAAGAATAGCTCGAGTCTAGAATGTCAGCAGCTTCAAAGGTGGAGGAAGCCCTAACAGATGGAAATCTGTACAGTATATCCCAAATGAATGGCACTCAGAAGTAATCGGATTGGTACTTAGACTCTCGGATGAATTATTCAAGTTTGCACTGGATACAGCTAACAAATTTGAAGTAACCGAACTGCACAATCATTTGCAACGTTCTGGAAAGAATATGGCAGAAGTAGCAGTTTAAGTAGGTGTGTCGAAATGCACAGGGACTGTTACTGAGAAGGAAAGATCAGGGAGGTCAGATGTGGGTGGTGAAAGCTGAAAGACTGGATAATTTAGTGATGGTATTGTCTTCTGTCCGCATAAAGGAAAAGAAGCAAGTAACTTGGGCGTAAAAGACTTTAACTTTTATTTCCTCATAAGTACACTGTCTGTCAACAGGAAGTTGTTGGAAACAGTTTGTGTGAACTGAAGGGATAAACCTACAGGAGAGGGAGCAAGGAGAGGGAATTGTTTTATGGAGTTGATGTTTGAATGCAGACCAAGTGGGAAAAGTGCAAGAGGAAGATGAAGTCAAAATTCAGACGGAGGGTTTTAGCCTTGCACCCATTGCCATTGGTTCAAAGAAGGAACAAAACACATGGGTAGATTTGAAAAAAATAAACCCTACAAACACAGTAACATGAAAAGCCACAAAATTCCAAATAAGTTTTTAAATTGTTTTCAATAGTGTTATGAAACTGTACAGGGCAAATCCAGACAGAAGGTTCTGTTCATGTTTCTGATTGTGTTAATGAATGACTAAATCATCTATTAATGATATTGTTGAGGTAACATTGAGGATTTACTTAATCTGGTATGATTTATTATGAAAGAGGAAGTGATGATAAAATCGGAGTGTTTGAGAGGTTGGGTTTCTAGACACTAAAAGAATTTCTGGACTGTTCTGTGATGGCTGTGGCCAAACCCCATGTAGGAGTACAGCTGAATGTAAAGGTGCAACAAATAGTTGCGACTTGAGTAGGAGTGTGGACCTTAAAATGGGGAGTTTAGAGGAGGGAAAAATAATTGGCATGTGCCTGGTGGCTAATTGTCAGTGTGGCACTTGGCATGAAGTAAAATGTGATGCTCTGAAAGGGCTGTTGTGGTGGTTGGGGGTCATTTCTGTAACAAGTAGTTTGTGTGCAGTGATTAGTCTAGCTCTGTCTTACTGGCTCATGAAGTGACGCAGTGAAAAGGGTTGTGGTAACCATTCAAAGATGCAAACTTGATCTCTATAAAATGGCATTTGAAAAACTCTGTCTTAGGTTAGAAGGTGATGAAGAAGTGGTCAGAAGGGATCTCTACTTGTATGGGTCACAAATTTCCTTGTTTGAAGAGTCTTGCTTGCTCATGTGATTTAGCAAGGTAAAGCTCAGTAACTGAACTAAGGGTTTATGTACCTACCTGCAGAGTGTGTGTATGCTTACAGAAGTTTAGGCAAGTAGATGTTGCAATGCTTTATGAGGTGCTGGTGCTGGTGAGGTGATGGTATGTGACTGTTGAGAGTGTACTAGTCGACTAAAGATTGCCATATAAGTGATTATTATTAATAGCTATTGTAATTCAGACAATGCAAAGGTTACAGGCAGGGATGTCTCTTGTTAGGCTAATGGGTCAGTTCGAAAGATCACTTCTGTAGTGAAATGGTTTTCTTAGGTTCTGAAATGGAAACAACGAATTCCAGCCCTTAGTGCCCAACTTAGTTTGCGTTTAGATTTGAGGTTGTTAGCTTTAGTTTGATCTAAAGAAGGGCTTGTGTGCCTAAGAGCTTATTTGCTCTTCTAAATTAGTTGGATTACATACACCAAGTCTACCTCATTTGGGCTTTGTTCAAATGCCTGTAGCCATTTGGCTCAGCAGGAGATTTGGATAACTAATACTCTCTTTGGGGTTTTAGTCGCGGCATTCATCCTCAGGAAGTAAAGCTCCATCTGATGAGATGAGTTGATCTGCCTTAAATGTGTAGAAGGAACCCCCTTATATCTTGGTTTTGCAATCTACAAGGTCAAAGCTTGATGGAATGATGTCATCGTTTCACAACCATTTTCTTTTTTTTCCTAAGTGGAAATGTTTAACTCATCTCTTCCTAATCCATCTGTTTCCCCATGCTAACACTTCATGAAATATTCCAGTGCCATAAGGGGTGCTGTATGAGCTGGTATGACGACTGTGTGGGTGAAATTCAGCTTTTTGCCAGATGCTCACCCAGCTGCTCTCAGTGCTCCTCCAACAGGATGGAGGCAAAAACAAGATAAAGCAGCTTGTGGGCTGAGATAAAGAAGGGCTCAATTAGCTACAAGCAAAACTGACTTTGTGCTGTTCCTTCATTATCATGAAGATGAGTTCAAGAGAATTAAAGAAAGGACGGAGCAATTTTTGAGGTCCGTGAGACTTACATCAGAACATGCTCAGCTGTTAAACTTTGGAATTTGTTAACTGAACTCATTCATTTGTTGTTAGACATAGCAGCCTGTAGGCATGATCTATTACACACTGGTAAAATGTCTATTTTTTTAAAAAAATGTAATTCGTGTGGAAATGAAAGTATTGTTCAACAACTTGCAGGCTGTAGAATAGTGAGTCCTGAAGCATTTGCAGGCCAACTATATGATACTAAGAATCAAAGAGGAAAAGCTTAATTACTTGGACTGTCTGTTCACTGTCACATTAAAGCTCAACTATTTGAATCTGCAGGCATTTCTGAATACCTCACTGCCAGAAAATAACGTTTTTGTGAGTGAAGTAAGTCATGGCAATCTATTGCTGCTCTCGGTAAAAGCTGCAAGTACCTTAAAATTGTAGGTTACTAATGTGGAATGGCTCATTCCTTTAGTCCGAGGAGGTTAGCTTACTTATGCAGACTTGTGTAACCATTTTGGTGTGCCTTCAAAACATGAAAAGTTGATTTTTTTTTTTTTTCTCTTTTCAAATAATGGAGTTTAATATAGCTGTTTACATTTGTGAAACAGTATTGTGTTTCTGATAGGAATGTGATTCCCAGAGTTGTTGCATAATGCAGTAACAGAATTACTTAATAGTGTGGAAGAGGAGTATTTTGTATAAATCCAGTTGTGCTGCTTTGGAACATAATTGAAGTAAATTCAATTTTTATTTGGCCTTTTGATTTGCGTTCTTGCTTTGCTCTGTATATTTACAGAGAATTCTTGTTGGAAATTTTGGCCATTAGGTTAGGGCTTTAGGTGGCCTGGGACAGAGGTTGTTTTAAAGCAGAAGAGTGGAGGAACAAATGAGGAGAAGCAGCCATAGGGGACAGATGGAGAGACACAAGCGATCCATCCCTAATTACGGTTGCCAGGGGAGCAGATACTGACCTGCAGGTTAAACACTCGCCAGGAGATCATTACCAAGAATACACTTTTCTTCTTTCCTGAATAACTGGTTCTTGTTGTAACCATTATGTGGCTGCTTGCAAGTAGCAGCACATCTAGAATGGAGAGGAGCTGGGGGAAAGCTGACCGTGGACAAAAAAATATTAGCTGTCAGGTGTGGACTTACTGCAAAGCAGATGGTGGAGCAACCAGCACTGACCTCTAGGGGAGGTGTGCGGCAAAAGCACAGTTCTCATCAGTCTGTTGGGACAGCGCTTGAAGGAAATCTGTAGATTGCTTGCATTGGCCAAGAAGGGTTTACTTTTGTGTGTAAAGATAGGCTGGGTGCATCTGCAGCAAAATTTCCCCAAGCTTTGTTACGTTGCCTTTCATAGTCTTTGTCTTCAGCTGCATCTCTCTGCATTGCAAATAATCTCTGACAGCTGGCTAGCTGCCGTGCTTGTTTGGAAAACCATCACTGACAGCAGCTGCAGATTGTGGGTTGCTCATGGAAGGTTCTTGAGACCTCTACAAATTCACAAGGTCACTAGAGAACTGCTTTAGCAGACATGGTGCTGAATCAGCGTAGGATTTTAGCATCATAGAACTGTAGAATGTGTTGGGCTGGAAGGGACCTTTAAAGGCCATCAAGTCCAACCCCTGCAGTGAGCAGGGACGTCTTCAACTAGATCAGGTTGCTCAGAGCCCCATCAAGCCTGACCTTGAATGTCTCGAGCGGGAGCCTCCACCACCTCTCTGGGCAACCTCTACCAGTGTCTCACCACCCTCATAGTGAAGAACTTTGTCCTGACATGTAATCTAAATCTACCCTGCTCTAGATTAAAACCATTGCCCCTCGTTATACATACCCCTGTGAACAGTCCCTCCCCAGCTTTGTTGTAGCCCTCTTTAAGTACTGGGAGGCCACTATAAGGTCTCCTCAGCCCCTTCTCCAGGCTGAACAACCCCAACTCTCTCAGCCTGGCCTCATAGATGAGGTGCTCCAGCACTTTGATCATTCTTGTGGCCCTTCTCTGGACCTGCTCCAACAGGTCTTTCTTGTGTTGATGGCTCCAGAGCTGGCTGCAGGACTCCAGGTGAGTTCTCCCCAGAGGAGAGGGGCAGAATCACCTCTCTGGCCCTGCTGGTCGTGCTGCTTTTGATACAGCCCAGGATACAATTGACCTTCTGAATGTGAGTGCTTCATGTCCAGCTTTCTGTCCCCCAGTACCCCCAAGTCCTTTTGCTCACGGCTGCTCTCTAGCACATCATGCCCCAGTGTGTTTTGATGAGGAGGATTGCCCCAGCCCAGGTACAGGGACCACATGTTGATACGGAAAGTGATGTTTAATCTGGAACTTCATTTTCCATCATCTGTTTCGCTGTGGAAATATTTGTGTGTAATAGTTGGTTGTGATTGAGTAAATACTGCTGTCAGTTTGTTCTAATTGCGCATTTTTATGTTTAGTAAGTAATTCTTAAATAATGAAAACATCTCACTGTGTACAGATGTCTAAATCTTGTTAATTTACCTCTTGAACAGTGTGGCAGTTGTGTTCCTATTTGCATTCATAGCAGAATTAAAACATGTCAGTGGACAAATAATGTAGTTTATAGTGTCGGGATTTTTTTTTTTTTTTCCCAATAGCTTCTTTTCAGATATTCAGGACTTAACATAAAGGCACTAGTAGTGCAGAACTAGGTGGATAACTAGAATATTGTGTCAAGTGTGGTGCTTTTTTCATGGCGTTAAAGAAAAATGCGTGATTCCTTCATGCTTGCATTAATATTACTGTGACTTTTCACTTGGAGCTGTGCTTTTGTGGACTTGATTTCCTTTATATGCGTGGCACAGTCACTTATTTTAAAGCTGCTCCCAGCCAGTTAACACATTCGATAACCTTTTTTCCCCAAACGTTTCAGCAGATAATGGGGGAGCAAGGCTATACTTCAGGTGATGAAATGTGAATAGGATCAATAGAAAGATGCTTTATTTTAGTTTCGTTTTATTCTTTAACACTGCTTGCTCCTTCTCTGCACGCGGATGGGGTCGTATGCCCCTTGGGCTGTGGGATTTTGCTGAAAAAGCTTTGCATGTGCCGAAATAGACAGGATGCAGGGACAACCACAAACCACAGCTGAAATGCAGAGAGTAAATTTATTCTTGCTCCCTGAGAATCTGGAGACTCTGCAGCAGCACCCAGGCGAGGCACGCAGGCAGCGATCACACGAGCAGGAGCAGCGCAGGCCCAAGGAGATCTGGCCTTGCTTGGCAGCCCGTGGTGGTTATCCCGCTGCCCAGTTACGCTTTCCTTGCGGCTCTGCTGAGTTGCCAGGGCTCACACAACAGCTTTGCTTTGTTCCTTCCCATAGCGGGGCGGGGATGTGAGAGATGCACCCGCATCTCTCGCCGGCCTCTGGTACCCAAGTGCGGGCGTGCTGCTTGTCGAGCAGTAATCCCCTGTGATGGGCGTGTTTTTCAGCTGCACATCGCTTGAGCTTACCTACAGTCCTCCTTGCCAATCTTCCATTATGTTGTCACACTCTTACTTTAGCCCTGTTTTTTATTAACTAAATATGTATTTAGAATGGTTGCTTTGCCTATAGGTTAACAGCTGAATCCAGATTTGAAACTACAGAAGAAGATAAGAAAGAAAATAATATCACGCCTGAGAAGAAAACACGAAAGAAAAAATATACAACGTTGTATGTGTCTTCTAAGCCGGCTTCTGAAACACAGTGTGCTCAGCAATAAAACTTAGAGTTCTGGAAGGATCCTGATCAATTTGGAGTCCTGCTTC